AGTCTAGTCTATAGTCTAGTCTATAGTCTAGTCTATAGTCTAGTCTATAGTCTAGTCTATAGTCTAGTCTATAGTCTAGTCTATAGTCTAGTCTATAGTCTAGTCTATAGTCTAGTCTATAGTCTAGTCTATAGTCTAGTCTATAGTCTAGTCTATAGTCTAGTCTATAGTCTAGTCTATAGTCTAGTCTATAGTCTAGTCTATAGTCTAGTCTATAGTCTAGTCTATAGTCTAGTCTATAGTCTAGTCTATAGTCTAGTCTATAGTCTAGTCTATAGTCTAGTCTATAGTCTAGTCTATAGTCTAGTCTATAGTCTAGTCTATAGTCTAGTCTATAGTCTAGTCTATAGTCTAGTCTATAGTCTAGTCTATAGTCTAGTCTATAGTCTAGTCTATAGTCTAGTCTATAGTCTAGTCTATAGTCTAGTCTATAGTCTAGTCTATAGTCTAGTCTAGTCTATAGTCTAGTCTATAGTCTAGTCTATAGTCTAGTCTATAGTCTAGTCTATAGTCTAGTCTATAGTCTAGTCTATAGTCTAGTCTATAGTCTAGTCTATAGTCTAGTCTATAGTCTAGTCTATAGTCTAGTCTATAGTCTAGTCTATAGTCTAGTCTATAGTCTAGTCTATAGTCTAGTCATAGTCTAGTCTATAGTCTAGTCTATAGTCTAGTCTATAGTCTAGCCTATAGTCTAGTCTATAGTCTAGTCTATAGTCTAGCCTATAGTCTAGTCTATAGTCTAGTCTATAGTCTAGTCTATAGTCTAGTCTATAGTCTAGTCTATAGTCTAGTCTATAGTCTAGTCTATAGTCTAGTCTATAGTCTAGTCTATAGTCTAGTCTATAGTCTAGTCTATAGTCTAGTTTATAGTCTAGTCTATAGTCTAGTCTATAGTCTAGTCTATAGTCGAGTCTATAGTCTAGTCTATAGTCGAGTCTATAGTCTAGTCTATAGTCTAGTCTATAGTCTAGTCTATAGTCTAGTCTATAGTCTAGTCTATAGTCTAGTCTATAGTCCAGTCTATAGTCTATATTATTATTTTTTAATTTTACAGCATACTTTAAGTATGACCATTTAAATAAAATTCTATTACATAACTTATAGCTTACACACATAAAGATCTTAAAATTCCCTTCAAACATTGGAAATTCTCAAAGAGTAAACATTTTTATTGTTGGTTTTAAGGTTAAGCGACAGTTAAAAACTAGTTTAAAACATTAAAAATTACAGTTTAATATCCAAACAGATTAAATATTCATTTGCTACTTTCTTTAATGTAACATCATTAACCTTTTGACTACATCCTCTGCATGGTCCGTTTTCTGTTAATTATACAATTTGCTATTACATTAAAACTTTTCGTTACACATACACCCCAGCAACAGAGCAACTTCAACTTCATTTAAGAAAATTTTGTTAAGTTTAAGTGTCAAACTTCATTATGGCAAAAACTTAACAAATTCAAGTTTTAATTTTAATTAAAATGGTGCATAGACATAGACAGACATACATATAGTGTCCTTTATATTTTGTTTCGTGCAAGTTTCAATTAATCGTTAATGTTTTCTTGTCCTTAGTAATATTTTTAGTCTCTTATATTTTGAAATGCAAACCTTAATTTCAAATTCTAAATGACATTACTAGTTAGTAACTATAATTTATTTAAATAATTTACTAAACAATCATTTAGAAAAACTTTAAACTTGAAAAATCTTGTTAAAATAGTTGCCTGTCAACCTCAACTAAATATGTATGTTTTTTGTTTCTATCAAATAACTACACAACGTTAGCAATAACAAAAAATTTATGGTATTTTCATTTATTTTGTGAAAAAAAAAATGAAAAAATAAAACAACAAAACTGAAAAACAAATTTAATGTGGTTTTAAAAGCTTTTTAAAAAGTTTACTATAGTTTTATACATATTTTGTTCCGTCCATTTTTTTAAACAATATATTTTTTATTTATTTACGGTTTGCTTGCCATCTCTTTCACTCTTAGAACTTTAAGCTTCCGTCTTTTGCCAGCTTGCATGGCCAACTAGAACAGAAGTAAAATTTTCAAACGAAAAAGCAAAACTTAGTCAAGGACGTTTTTCTTTTAACACACACAGATGCTTGAAAATTTTCACATATACACTCTTGTATTTTATATTTGTAGACACATACATATATAGTGTATCCATACAAATATGATGGTATATTATTTATTATAGTTTTACTCGTTTTTCTACTTAAGAGTCTCATGCCAGTCCTTGGCTGCCGAAAACTATAAACTTCCCTCAAAAATTTCAAACAAAAACTTTTGCGTTCCTGTGTCTTTTTTGTTTTATTAAAATATTAAACTTATTTAAACAATAAACTATTTCCAAATATAATTTCTTTTTGTTTTGTGATGGTTGCGAGAAGACTTCTTTTTTGAATGTGCTGCAGCAGTAGAGTGACTGTTGTGTAATTTTTAAGCAAGGGAACAAACTTATTTTCTGAATAAAAAAAAGTTTAAAATAATTTTCCAATTTTATTGTTGATAAAAATTTAAAATAATAATGATAAAAATTATATGACTTTTTCCAGAAAAAGTTTATCCAAAAAAAAAACTTATTTTTTAAAAGCTTTTATTCATTTTGAAACTTAATATTTGATGTACTTAAGAAAGCTTTTTCAACAACATTTGTACTGAAAGAGTTTTGGAAATAGAGGAAGCCTTTTGATTGAAAACCTTTTTAGATGCAGATTTTATAGGAATTAAAAAAAAAGCTTTTTTGGAGAAAACTTTTCAACAAAAAGTACCTTTTTTACAAAAACTTATTAATGTAAAAAATATTAAAATAAGCTTTCCCTAAATTTTTATTTGGAATCTTGTTTAGATAACGATTTTATAAGTATTTAAAAAAAAAAATTTAAATGTCTATACTTTTTATTAAAGAGATTTTGAAAGCTTTTTAAGCTATAGAAAAAGCTATTAATACAATTTTTTTTATTAAAAAGCTTTTTTGGAAAAAATTTTAAATAAAAAAGAAATCTCTTTAATAATCTTGATTCTAAAAGAAGCTTTTTAGAAAAACTTTAGGGAAAGCTTTTTGAGATATAAATTTAAGAGACAAAAAGAGAAAAAAACCGAACGTTTTAAAGAAATATTTTCTGTTAAAAGCTCTTGAGAAAAATCATTTCTGGAAAAAGCTTTTTAAGAATATTTTTATGAAAATTTTTTTGTTTAATTTGGAGAAAACTTGAAAATAGAAAATTGTAAAAAGTAAGAAAGCTTTTTCTAAAAAGTGATAATTTCTAAAAGGCTTTTTATGAGAGTTTTTATAAAAAATGTAATGTAGAAGACTTTTTGTTAATGTTATATTTTTAGGAAAATTTTATATAAAATAAAAATTTGGTACTTTGAAAGTTCATAAAACATTAAAACTCATTTTTTATAGCATTATTATCAACTGCTTGAGACTATTAATCATTAAATATATATTCTTATCTTGAAGCTTATCAAATTTTTATGATTTTATTTTCAATTTTATTTATTTTTTTACTTCTAAAACGTCTATTCCAACATTCCCAATTTTAAAAGAGATTATCGATATATTATTGATATAGAGTTTATACAATTTATTTATTTTTTTTTTATTTTCCAACAAAAGTCACGTCTAGCTCATATGACAGCCATAGCGAAAGCTATTTTTTATTGCTATTTTTGTAACAAAAATATAAAACAGCAAATTTAATTTTCTTTAAATCTTTTTATAAAATCAAATATTATTATTTATTCATGTATGTATGTTTTATTATGTTGTTGTTGTTGTTGTTGTTATTTTTCTTATTGCCTTTTTAATATAAAAGAACTTCCTTTTTAACATTTTCATAGATAGACACACGGAGTGAAAAATAAAAAATAATCTAAAACTGAAAAACAAGATAAACAATTTTCATTTCGTTTATAATGTATTCACTTTAAAATCGTTTTTAAATAAATACGTGTTGAATTAAACTAAATGAAAATAAATTGTTTTTGTTGCCTTTTTTTTTGTTTAAACATTTTATGGATTTAGCTACGATATACAGAGCATACAAATAGGGGTTTAGCAGTGTAAGAAGGGAAAGATATTTAAACATCCATTTGCTATGATGATTGGCTTTGACTTTCCCCTTAACAACTAGAAAGTTGAGTCGTGTAATAAATGTCAAAATACGTTACGATTTCTATTAAACCAGCTGCATAGACAACTAGAAGTCTCTGCATATAGAAAAAAAAACAGTCATAACGAAAGATGGATGGATGGATGGATTGTTGGGTTCAATGAATGTATGGATGGTTGTGTTACACATACAGAAATAATTTCTGGCAATTTGATATATTGAAATCCTTTTTAGCACTAACTTACCCACCAATATTGACAGCCAATCAATCTCGTCAAAGAAAATAGTACAACTTTGTTTAGAGCCGGGGAGGGGGACAAGAGCAACAGTAATGAAAAAAATACAAATTAACACAAAATTTATTACACTGCCATAGTTAGAACACAGACAGAGGGACAGACTGATAGATAGACTTTGTCGTACACTCCACAACATCAAAAAAGCTAAAACTTTATTGAGGCAGTATTGGCAAGATAATCATTTAGCAAAAAAAAGTAAATAAATTTATATTTACCCACCCATAGCTTTTCTTACATACATACACCCTTGCCAAGTTAAACAAATAGATATTCAAATATAGAATTGTAATTTTGTCTGTGTGTGTAAAATAAAATTGATTGGCTGTGATTTATTTATAGAGCTCCATTTGATATTTATTTGTTATAGTCAGAGAAAAAAGTTTAATTGAAAAAAAAACAAATGTTAAAAAAATTTTAAAAAATCAATTACTCATATTACACACAAAAACCTATAAACAAAATTTTCTATAATTAGCTTCGTTTCGAAATTATTAAGGCCTACTTTAAGGCTTATAAATTTGTTTATTCTATAAATAATAAGTAAAATAACACGATCTCTGACTTACCGTAAAGAATATTTCATTTAGATGATAATTGTAGGCATTGCGCACATAAGTACGTATAATTTTATCACGTCTCTCGCCCTCGAAACCATTTTGTATATCATGGGCACTAAAACGCCAAATCGATTCACCCGTAACCACACCAAATAAAACATCATAGTGAGCACCCAGGCCACCATTCGTATAAGATGAACTGCCACCACTAAAATAACCACTGCCATAATTGCCACCACCACCACCCCCTCCCGAGGAAGAACCGCCGCCACCATCGTTTGATGAGCGTTTACTGCTGCGTGTCATTAAATCATCGATATCGAGATTGGAATGTCCGGAACGTATAACGACGCCATCAACCTAAATTGAAAATAAGGAAGAAGACAAGAAAAACAGGATGTTAGAAAAAACAAAAACAAATATGATAAAAAAAAGTGGCAACATTTAAAAGAAAAATCAAAAAAAAAAAAAAAAAACAATCAACCAAAAGAAACTGAAAACGTTTTTTTTTTCTAACAACATACACATATTTTTCCATATTAGCCTAAAAAAAGGGCCTTAGCTATGAAACGATGACTAATAGAGACAAGTAGATTTGTTTTGTAAGATATCAAGAAATAGACCAACCTTTTTTTTGTTGGCCTTTTCAATACACACACATAGATGTAAAGATTGTACTCACATATTTATGTTTGTTTAAGGAAATACTCTACTGTAAATCGTCTTGTAAGTATGGGTTTAAATGAAAAATGCCCTAAATGGAATATCTTTGAACTTAACTGCTCCTTTTGCTTAGGTTTCCTTAAATTTTCCTTTCATATATTAAACTAGACATGTTTATATTTAAGTTACGTTGCGGCTTTTTTTATGTGTAAAAATATGGCGTTAATATAACGATATAAGGCACAGATTGAGTTTCAAAGGAATTTATTCTTTTAGCAGAAAGAAAAAGTTATAACTTACAAGTATTATAAATAATAGTCTTCTTAAAGAAATTTGAAACATTTTTGAAAATGAGCTTTATGGCAAAAGTACTTTTTTGGATAAAATACTTTGATAATAAAAACAAAACAACAACAAGTGAGTGGGATATCCCCCATATAAACATCAGAATGATATTTGGAATATAACTTAAATCATCCTCCCCGGGGCATGTTTCCTTGATGAAAGACCCTCAACTTGGTGTATTGCAGTTTTGTGGTGCTACCAGTACCTCTAGTCATCCCCCCGGGGCATGTTTCCTTTATGAAAGACCCTCAACTTGGTGTATTGCAGTGCTGGGGTAAAGAGGTGCTACCAGTACCTCTAGTCTGCCGGGATGTTGTTCTCTATTGAGTGTGTCGGATGAATTAGAAGTGTGCTGGGTTGAATGATGATAGATGAAAGGTATCTTATACAAGTGATAACATTGAATTTCCCTTCCTTGTCCAGTTATGTTCAGAGTAAAGTCTGCTCATACCAGAATTACTACAGTATGTCACTGTGAGTAAAAACAAAGTCTCGGCTTATTTGATGGATTCGTACTTCGGTCTACTGGTTACGTCTCTAGCTGCTGTTGCGGACTGACTCAACAGAGGCCATTCCATCTGCGTGGTTGTAAATAGAAGTGATGTTTTTGCATCTCGGAAGTTAAGCAATGGGGCAGCAATGATCAGATATTAGATAGCTCAAGTACTTGAGCAAAGTACACGTACTCTGGACCGGAAGCACAATGGGGTGGTGGTGAATCGTCACAAAAGCTCACCCAGTGGTTGAAAAATATCACCGGGAAATAAGACAACACGGTAGGTGTTCACGTAAAGCACTTCGACATTAATGACTTAAATCAATTATGGACCGAGCTCTTTGAATTAACAAAATATTTATTTTTAAAAACAAAATATTTTTGTTAAATTTTTAAACCGTGAACATACATATTTGTGATGTAGGGTCAACTATGGACCGATTGTCGTGAAATTAGATAGAAAGGTAGAGGCCCTATATGCGGGTAGGGTCAACTATAGACCGATCCTCAATAAATTTGGTAGAGAGATTTTGACGCGTATAAAACTTATTTCATCGCTTTACTCGTATTTTTAAGCCAGTAATAAGCTTTAAAGCTACTTTCCGAAGGCGAGCTTATATGGGGGGGTAGCGTCAATTATGGACCAAACCTATATGAAACTTATTTATGTCGAATTTCAATACTATACTCGTACTTTTAAAACAAATATGCCCATTAAAATTATTCTTCGGGGGTCCCCTTGTATGGGGGCTATCCGAAAACGTGGACCGATATTTTCAATACCAAACAATATCTATAGGGAATATTTTTGGAAATTTTCAACCCTCTAGCTCATTCCATTCGGACTCTATCGTGCTTTCAACAGACAGACAGACAGAGACAGACAGACAGACGGATGGACTAGGTCGTCTAGAATAATAAGGACCCAAAATATATATACTTTTGTGAGTCTATGACCAATATTTGGAAGTGTTACAAACGGAATGACAAAATCAATATACCCCTTTTTTATGGTGGGTAAAAAAAACATACATATGTGGTTGTTTTCAGCAACTTTTTTAGACAACATTTTCATAGGCTGCTCCGAAATTTTCTTATATATCCGTAACTATATTCTAAAAAGTACTTTTTTCATTTAGTTTTTTGTAATACAGTTTGGGACATTTTCACAATTGGTACTTTTTTTTACAGAAGTAACGTTTAATAGAAAGCATTAAGCCCAGTAGTATACCTATTCTTCTCCCAATATTTTACACAAATATTTAATAATATAACTCTTTGATATGGATCGTGCATTTAGCTGCCAGTTTCTGTGGCTTTTTCAGTAACATGAAATAATCTTTGAAATTTTTAAGTAATTATTCTTCAACTCATAAACACACTTTGCTGGCAGTTCATCAAAATTCATACGTTTGATTATTTTTACGAATAAATCAAAGAGTCCAACACTTGAGTGCAAGAAAAGCATTGAAGCAATGACAACAGCTCAAGTTTAAATTCATGACCAACAATAAAGAAGACCATAGAAATCTCCGAAATGCTAAAAAATACTATAAGGAAACTGAAGTAGTGGCAGAAAGAAAAAGCAAGTGGCATTAAGGAAAGAAAAAAATACACTTATGCAAAAGAAGCTTACAAACAGCTTTTCTTCATTATTATCAAGTACTAGTTCGACACGTAACAAGAACATACCAACAAACTACATATACGTATAATAAATATCATACACTTCACTACAGATACTCATTAACACACAAGGACAATCAACATCTTGTATGCGTATAAACATACATATAAATATGTTTTCTTTTTTATCAGTTTTTTTTTATTATTATAATTTTTTTCTTACTTTTTCAACATTGTCAAGAATGTTTTGTTGTCCAAGTGTACAACAGTGTCATAGGTTCATTTAAAAGTATTTTAGCCTATTTCAAGTATCTATATTTTGTACTCTCGCTCTATCTGTAGCTTGTACAGCACTTTTAAATGTTTCAGTTTTTCTTGTTATTTGCTGTCCTTGTGAATGTTGTTATTCATGGCCTTTGTTCTATTTCATATACAACTTTCTATTATTATTATTTTTTTATATTTTTTTTCAACTTTCTAAAGAAATTTTCCTTTTTGCTATCATAAAAATTGTTTAAAAAGAAAAAAATGGAAAGCAGAATAATGTAAATGTTGTTGTTGAAGAATGAAAGAAAAAAATTACAATTTTAAAATATGCCATCATCAATTGAGACACTATAAATTTAACACTCCATGTACATGGGCAGCAATAGGAATGTCAATGGCTATAAAAGCTTTTGGTGGGAGGTTGTTTGCTGCTAGTAGAATGTAAAGAAAGTCCGTCATATAAATATTACGGTTACAATATGCCATCATCTTCATCACCATCATCATTGGCTTTTTATTCATTGTTTCATTTTACAGCCTATTAAAATGACATTTTTTTCATTATTTGTTGTATTTTGCTTTCACTTGGCATTCATTTACTTTTTGGGGCAGTTTTTTTTTTGGTTATTTATTTTTTTTAATATTTTTTTAAATAAAATTTACACTGTTTCCGCTGGTAAGAGAGGGGAAAATTATTTATTTGTTATACTATGCAAAAAGACCCACCATTTGTTAGATTTTCAAATAATTGTAATATTGGGTACTTTTTAAAAAAAAGTACTTTTTTTGAATAATATTTTTATATCCTATTTAACGATTTTTAAGCTTAATCAGCTGGTTTTTAAAGGAAAATTAAAAAAATATATAAATTATTTTATGCAAAAAAGTACTTTTTGGTAAAAAGTACTATTTTTGGAATTTTTATTAATATTTTCTTATTTAAATGAATTTTAATACAATATGTTTTTATGAAAAGTACTTTCTATCAAAATTTTAGTTATTTTGTAAAAGTACTTGTCTTTAGAAAGTATTAAAGTTAAAAAGATTTTTGTCAAAAAAGTACTTATTTCAAAAAAGTAAAATTTTTATAGGGAACTTTTGCCAAACAAATATGTTTCAATGAAAAAGTACTATTTGAAGTGTCAAATCTTTTTAAACAGAAAAAGGTATTTCAAATATTATAGCGTATGATTCGAGTATGAACTCTTATCACAAAAAATTGGTTTTATATTTAGTACTTTTTTTTCAAAAGGTACAAATGTTACTTTTAAAGAAAAGTAATAATGCTAGAAAAGCTTTCTTTTTTAAAAGTACCCAAATTATTAAAACACAAAAGAAAGTTAAAAAAATTAAAAAAGATTTTTAATTTATTTTAATTTAATTTAATAATTATTTTTTATACTATGCAAAAAGGCCAACCATTTGCTAGATTTTTGGGTACCTTTTAAAAAAGTACTTTTTTTGAATAATATTTTTGTATCCTATTTAACAATTCTTAGGCTTAATGAGCTGGTTTCTAAAGGAAAATTAAAAAAAAATATAGAATTTTCCTCATTTTATGCAAAAAAGTACTTTTTGGTAAAAAGTACTATTTTTGGAATTTTTATTAATATTTTCTCATTTAAATGAATTTTAATACAATATTTTTTTATAAAAAATACTTTCCATCAAAATTTGAATTATTTTGTAAAAGTACTTTTTTTTAGAAAACATTAAAGGCAAAAAGATTTTTGGCAAAAATGTACTTATTTCAAAAAAGAAAACTTTTTAAAGAGAACTTTGCCAAACAAATAAATTTTCTGTGAAAAAGTACTATTTGAAATGTAAAATTTTTTAAACAGAAAAAGGTATTTTAAACATTATAGCGTACGATTCGTGTATGAACTCTTATCACAAAAACATTATTTTATATTTAGTACTTTTTTTCAAAAGGTACTTTTTTCGAATGTTACTTTTAAAGAAAAGTAATAATGCGAGAAAAGCTTTCTTTTTAAAAAGTACCCAAATTATTAAAACACAATAGAAAGTTAAAAAAATTAAAAAAGATTTTTAAGACGATATATCAGTATTTTTAATATTTGGTACTTTTTGTAATTAGTACTTTTTATACCCTACACCACCTGTCCGTCTGTGTGTCCATGTAAAGCTTTTGTGTACGTTACAGGTCGCAATTTTCAAGATAATTTGATGAAATTTGGCACATACATTTCTTTCGACCTTAAAACACAAATTTTTGTGTATTATTCATTCATTTGTATACAATAAATTCTTAGAAATATAATTCTACAGATTTTTCCCTACTTTATGCTCCTGTTTTTGATATATATTTCTCTTTCATTTTTGTTTGGCAAATTAATGCATCTTAATATGTTGCAATATAAAAGAGTAAAATTAAAAGAATCTTAGAAATCAAATAACTCATTAAGGATTTTCCTGCTACCAATTACGAACACAAGGTGAAAGGGAATGTTGAAATTATTTTAAGTATTTTTAAGGAAATGTTCATTTTATTTGAATTTTTGATTCAAGAGTATAGAATTTGTTTTGCTTTTTATGTAAGTAATGTTATTAAAAGGTCAGGATGTTTTTAGAAATCTACGTTATATAATACCAGATATTATATAACGAAAATGAACACAATAGGCCTATAAACACTTGAGATATAACTCCATGATTTGAAGGACATATAGCGAAATTGGTTTTTGTACAACGACAATGTGTATATCAAATTAAAGCTATTTCACTTCACTTCTCTCTCTTCACTTACCGATGGCCCAAAGGAAGTTAAAAACGTGGGCGCTTGAATATCCGCTGCATACAAATCCTCCAATGGAACATCTCTCAAACAATCCACAATTTGTTCATGATGTTTATTCAAATCATCCGGTATAGAACAATTAACCTCTTTGGCTAATTTAACAGCAAAAGAAACAGGATCTTCCACTAAAGCCCAAGATGAATAGGCTGAACCCGACATTAAAATCGCGCGTTGGAAAAGACCTCTCACCATAGTGGGTGTAGACATTAGATAATTAATACAAGCCGCTCCAGTACCATGACCCGCCAGAGTAACAGCATTGGGATCACCACCAAATTTCTGTATATTTTGTTGTATCCAATGTAATGCTGCTATTTGATCCATTAGACCATAATTGGCAACGCGTGCATGTTGTTGAGGATTTGGATTGGCATTTAGAAAACCTGTTGAGAATGTAGAAATAAATAAATTTTGAGAAAGCAAAAAAAGGTAAAAGAGAAAACAGAAAACAGCTACAGTTTATTAAGCTCATAAATAATGGTGATACCGGCAGGTATTCTCTAACTTTTCTATTGAGCCAGGCACGCACCTTAAATGTTTATATTTATACTTTTGTGTGTGTGTGTGCGTGTGTGAGTTTGTGCTTTAGCTCTTAAATATAATAATTTATTATTATGGTTTTCTTGAGTATAGTAACTTTTAGTTTAGTTATTTTTTTAAGCTTCGTTGTTGTTATTGCTATTGTTGCACTTACCTAGAATTCCTAAACGGTAATTAAGCGTTACTACCACAACTTCGCCATAGCTGGCTAATACACTGCCATCATAGGGATTACCGCTGCTCCATTCGAATGATTCACCGTGTATAAATACAATTACGGGTAATTTTTTCTCACTAGCTCCGGCTAAAAATAGGATAAAGAAAAAAAATTCTATTTAAATAATGGTCTTTGGTTGTTTATAAGAATTCAACGAAAATAAATAAATATTTTGTTGTTTATGAAAAAAAAAAAACAAATTAAGGCAGTAGTTATTCTTAGCAAAACTGTCTAAAGTTACAGACTTTCCGGGAAATTCTTTAGTTTTCTTTAGATTATAAAATATAAGTCTGTTTTTCTTTAAAACAGTTTCAAGTTTGAGGTCGTGAAAAATTAAAAAATCAAGTTAATAAACACATACATAGTCAACTATATTTTAGTATAATTTATCAATTTGAAAGCCCTTTACTTAAAGTCACCAACAGCACAACCCGTACGACTAAAAAGGTGACTGTAATAAAAATTAGAAAATAAAAATTCTTGACTGTACGCTAGTAAACGCGTTCTTAAGCTCCATTAAATGTTTCCGGAAGACTACAACAGCCACTAACTTAGCAGACACCAAACACAAACACAACCAGGGAAAAAAGGTAAAAATGCTACAGAAAGTGAAATAAATGATTATTGCCCTGCTTCATACATAAACATATGCCATAAGGAAACAACAACAACAAAAAAGGAACTAAAAATGAAAGCTGGTATAAAACTAAGGAATTTTTGTTTTCTTGCTAATCTATTGTTGTTTTTATTATTTTCTTTCCTTAAAAAATAAACAAAAATTAAAGAAAATAAATGTTATCTTACGAAGAGTTCTTAAGATAAGCAGCTTTATTTGGCTTTAACATAGTAGCGGAGTATATTTTATTATATGGACCAAAGCGAAACTTGTTGTTTTTTTTAAAAAAGCTTATTAGAAAATTTACGTCTGGGAAAGGGCGTTTAGCAACAATAATGTTTATTTTATTTGTTGCTGTTTTTCTTTACTTTCTTTCCAGTCTTTATATGTCCGTTTTTGTTTGTTTTTTTTTTATTGTTTTTTCTCTTCAGACATTGTTATTTTTATTCATGATTCTTTCGTTGTGTTGCTACGTGACGTATGATTAATTTTAATTAATTACATTCAAATGTTTATCAAACAAACACCAGTCAGAGTAACAGATACTCACTTATATATATACACACACACTTATTTACATTTACAAACAAAAATGTTTGATTTAGATGCAGAGAATTTGAGGGGAAAAAGAAGGAGAGACCAGATATGTTAGGTGAAAAAAAGTATGAACCATAAACTGTTATTGAAATAAATGATGGACATAAAATGTGTAGAGATGTATGTGTGAGGAATGAAATGAAAATAAAATAAAATTAACTGCATTTTTATTCTTGTTTAATGATAAAATAAAATCTATTAATATAAATAAGTTGAAGAACGTAAAATTAGGGGAGACGGAGATGGAGTAAATCATTTTGCAAATAAATCTAATATTTCTAGTATATCTCTTAAGCAGAATCATAAAGCTCCAGGAAAGGTGCCTTAAGGGCTTCAAATATATGAACCATCTGCAGATATTATGTAATTGTAAAGAATGGTATCTGGTAAATATGTATGTAGATGGGGGGTCTGGATTGAAGTTAATAGGTTAGTTAGTTAGTTAGTTAGTTAGTTAGTTAGTTAGTTAGTTAGTTAGTTAGTTAGTTAGTTAGTTAGTTAGTTAGTTAGTTAGTTAGTTAGTTAGTTAGTTAGTTAGTTAGTTAGTTAGTTAGTTAGTTAGTTAGTAGTTAGTTAGTTAGTTAGTTAGTTAGTTAGTTAGTTAGTTAGTTAGTTAGTTAGTTAGTTAGTTAGTTAGTTAGTAGTTAGTTAGTTAGTTAGTTAGTTAGTTAGTAGTTAGTTAGTTAGTAGTTAGTTAGTTAGTTAGTTAGTTAGTTAGTTAGTTAGTTAGTTAGTTAGTTAGTTAGTTAGTTAGTTAGTAGTTAGTAGTTAGTTAGTTAGTTAGTTAGTTAGTTAGTTAGTTAGTTAGTTAGTTAGTTAGTTAGTTAGTTAGTTAGTTAGTTAGTTAGTAGTTAGTTAGTTAGTTAGTTAGTTAGTTAGTTAGTTAGTTAGTTAGTTAGTTAGTTAGTTAGTTAGTTAGTTAGTTAGTTAGTTAGTTAGTTAGTTAGTTAGTTAGTAGTTAGTTAGTTAGTTAGTTAGTTAGTTAGTTAGTTAGTTAGTTAGTTAGTTAGTTAGTTAGTTAGTTAGTTAGTTAGTTAGTTAGTTAGTTAGTTAGTTAGTTAGTTAGTTAGTTAGTTAGTTAGTTAGTTAGTTAGTTAGTTAGTTAGTTAGTTAGTTAGTTAGTTAGTTAGTTAGTTAGTTAGTTAGTTAGTTAGTTAGTTAGTTAGTTAGTTAGTTAGTTAGTTAGTTAGTTAGTTAGTTAGTTAGTTAGTTAGTTAGTTAGTTAGTTAGTTAGTTAGTTAGTTAGTTAGTTAGTTAGTTAGTTAGTTAGTTAGTTAGTTAGTTAGTTAGTTAGTAGTTAGTTAGTTAGTTAGTTAGTTAGTTAGTTAGTTAGTTAGTAGTTAGTTAGTTAGTTAGTTAGTTAGTTAGTTAGTTAGTTAGTTAGTTAGTTAGTTAGTTAGTTAGTTAGTTAGTTAGTTAGTTAGTTAGTTAGTTAGTTAGTTAGTTAGTTAGTTAGTTAGTTAGTTAGTTAGTTAGTTAGTTAGTTAGTAGTTAGTTAGTTAGTTAGTTAGTTAGTTAGTTAGTTAGTTAGTTAGTTAGTTAGTTAGTTAGTTAGTTAGTTAGTTAGTTAGTTAGTTAGTTAGTTAGTTAGTAGTTAGTTAGTTAGTTAGTTAGTTAGTTAGTTAGTTAGTTAGTTAGTTAGTTAGTTAGTTAGTTAGTTAGTTAGTTAGTTAGTAGTTAGTTAGTTAGTTAGTAGTTAGTTAGTTAGTTAGTTAGTTAGTTAGTTAGTTAGTTAGTTAGTTAGTTAGTTAGTTAGTAGTTAGTTAGTTAGTTAGTTAGTTAGTTAGTTAGTTAGTTAGTTAGTTAGTTAGTTAGTTATAGTTAGTTAGTTAGTTAGTTAGTTAGTTAGTTAGTTAGTAGTTAGTTAGTTAGTTAGTTAGTTAGTTAGTTAGTTAGTTAGTTAGTTAGTTAGTTAGTTAGTTAGTTAGTTAGTTAGTTAGTTAGTTAGTTAGTTAGTTAGTTAGTTAGTTAGTTAGTTAGTTAGTTAGTTAGTTAGTTAGTTAGTTAGATAGATATTTTATCAAGTTTTCACCTTTCTCACATTTTGCAATAAAAAGTTTTAAACATCATATTAATACCAATAACTTGTTTTTAGTTTTGCGTTTGTATTTAAATTCTATTTATTGTGTATATTTTTTTTTGCTTTCTCTTTCCTAATTTTCCATTTTAATATGCCGGATATTAAACTAGTTCGTTTGGTTTCATTTGTGCTTTATGGCAATTTTAGACGATTTATTTCCTTTTTGATCATTTGTTTCCTTTAGTAATTTCCTCTGCTATAAATGTATGTTAATACTCAAGCATAAATGTGTAGCATATTTTTTTATTTTTTTTCGATGCTTGCTTAAAATAATAAATCTATTTTTTTTCTGCTTTATGTTAAATACATTTATGTATGTGTTTAATCTAAAGCTTTTAGCTATAAATCCTCATCATTAAAATACTTTACTAAATTTTGCATTTAAATTTGTAGTTTACCTTGCTTTGGTAATTGTTTTGAAGGTCAGTTTAAACATAATTAGGGCAAAGATCATTTATTTTAATTTAAATGGAATAATTTAAATAAGAAATCAATAAAAAAATGATTAACTGCTTTTCTGTTATTGCTACAAAAACCGCTTCGATATTATATAAATTCCTTAAATTAAACCGGAGTCATACACATTTGAATCTGTACGTATGCGTGTTAATTATTTGTTAAAAAATATTCCTCATACGCCCAAGGCGTTAATAGTAAATGCTTTGCTCTGTTTTTACATTCTTTTTTCCATAAAAATTATGCTTTTTTTCGTATTATTTTTAAATAAATTTATCACTTTTATAAACACATAATAAATGAAAATTAATGTGTTGCATTTCAAGTATGTAAATATGGTTGTTCGTAGGAATGTAAATTTTTTTTGAATGAATATATATCTGTATGTAGTTATAGAGAGAGAGAGAGAAAAGAAAAAAATTACAAAAAACATAAATTTAATATAAAACGATAGGCAGACACAGCTGTTAAAGCAATAAATTAAATAGGTAGTGACAATGAAAACTTTTAAAAAGGGACTATGGTGAAATTAAGGAAAAAATAAAAAAAAAAGATTTTAAGCTTTTAGTGAAAAATTTGATATTTTAAAGAGAATATGAGTTTTCTACTAAAAATAGATTTTTAAGGATTTTTGAAGGATATTATGGGTGATCTCAAAATTATATTTTCAAGCTAAAAATTAATTATTTCCTTTAAGACCTTTTTTACAGCATTCACAGTTTGAATGCATTAAATAAAAAAACAACAATTTATATAGTCTCATGTTTTAATGATCATTTAATATCAATTTCATTATTTTACTCTATTGACTCTAGTTGCTATTTATGTATTGGTGCGAAAATAATTTGAAAAATGCGTTAAAATTTTCAAAAAGAATTCAATAAAATAATATACAAATAAAAAACTTATTTGAAAGTAAAAACAGAAATTTCCTTTATTTTTTGCCTACTTAAAGTCCCTAAAGTAGTTAAATTAAATTGATTTGGTTTTTTTCCAACTACTTGCCTCGCAGCCTAGAGGATGTATAGATTACTAAACGTTATGTGTGTGTGTTAATACTTAATGCATTAGAGGTCGTTAAAGAGTCTGGCTCTCTAAAAAGACGTCTCCCCAAAGCAGACAACAACACAAAACAGTAAAAACAGAAAAAACAAAAAATAAAGAAACAACAACAATAAACAGCCATTGATTTGAATGGACTCTTGTCGTTTACGTGTAAATGGTTAAAATGAGGTGGTTTCCATTTGATTTGATGTCAACAACTGAGCAGCAGTAGTAGTAGCATCATTAACAAACTGACTGACTGACTGACTGACTAAATGAATGAACGAAGGAAGAAAGCAGATTTTTACACAAAATGGTAATTTTGATTGAAATGTAGTTGAGAATCTATTTAATGCAGTAACCAATAAAGTGACTGTCTGACTGACTGGCACTCACTCACATTCAGTAAAATACACACACTCTATTGCCTACTCACTTACTTAATGGGGGGAACTTTTACCACATGTGTGCCTGTATTTGATGTGTATTAAACAGGAAATGACCACAAATACATTCATACATATTGTTTTAAACAGCTCTTGCTACGGTTATAAGTATGTATGTGTGGGTGTTTATGGCTCTATACTTGGGTTTGATTACACTCAAGTACATATGTATGTAGGTGTAGATGTATATGTGTGTACTACAGTGTTTTTGTCATCAAAGTAACCATTTAACCGAATATTGAGATGTGTGTAATTGTTTTATTTTAACATTTTCTCTTTATTTGGTGGTATTTTTATTGTCGTTCACAGTGTGAGAGTTTAATTATTATTTTTTTGTTGTTTTTGTATTTTGTTGGTTATTTACTCCTTGTTATTTTGTGAGGTCTCTGTGTGATATGGATTTTATTTGAATTTTATATTGTTTTAAAGACCCAATTGACACAAGTAATAAAATTATATTGTTTTATATTAAATATTAACTTTTTAACTTTTTGTTGTTGGAGTGCATTGTTTATTAACATTGATTAAACATTAAAATGTATGGACACATGTCGTTTTTTCCTGTCTAAATGCAGATTAACGCTTACGTTTTTTTGTATTAAATTAAAATTACATTGTAATTAATGTCAGAAAATTTAAAACAACTGTGAAAGTATAGTCGGTCAACCTCTGTCTGTATATCAGTAATATAACTTTTGTATGTAAGCTCTAAATGGTACCTTCGACAAAAAGCTTTTTGTGTTAAGCTGTATAAAATAAGCTTTCTATAAGCTTTAATCAATTTATAATATCGTAATTATCCCATTTATATAGTAGCTTACAGATCCCCCAATTCGGTTTAAACCTTTATTTCAATAATTCTGATTAACTGCAACAAATTCAATTATTCATAGTTGTTGTTTTTGTTTTGACATTTACCATATGTGGCGGCATTTTGTTGTTTTTTAATTGAATTTATTATTTTAATTATAGTAATTTTATTTATTTATTTATATTTTGTTAAACAGTGTGTATATGCTTGAAAGTAAAAGTTGTTTTATTTTTAGTGATTTTTTTAAAATACAATTAATAAAATATTACACAAGAATGTTTGTATGTATGTATGTTGTTGTTGTTTGTTATTGTTTTTATTTGTTTACATTTTTTATTAAATAAATTAATGAGATTATGAAACGTTTTTTGTGGTTAATTTTTAATTAAAAACAATTTTGTCTGTCTTGTTATCAGCAACTCTAGTATATATAGCTATATACGTATGTATGTATGTGTATGTATGTACATTGGCAGCAATGTGAAAGTGTTGGTAATAAATTTTAGTTTTATGTTAAAACCATTATTTGGCTTTGGCAAAGTTTATTAATCTTCTGCATGAAGAGAAAAACACATATACTTACACATACATAGTACATGTATATGTATGCATGTGTATGTATTTGTATAACATATTTATCTAACTATTTATTGGGGTAATATCAATATTGTTTTTGGCACATAAAATTATTATGTATTTAAAACATTTATGTATTTTGGGCAAATTTTTGTCTTTCTCTTTTGTTTTTCCAAAAAAAAAAAAAATCAAATATTGTTTTTATCAGCCAAGTATGTCACATATCATTGTACTCACCATTGATGGGTGAAAATATATTTAAATATAGACAGTCTTCTGATTGATTTTCCAGATGTGGCAATAGTCTTTTTAAATATTCTAAACGTCCTTTTGGCATTTTCTCCAATGCAGCCGTTTCATTTTGTATATTTGGCAAACGTTGTGGACAGACGGGACTGTATGTATCCGATATACGTATGCCATCCCAGGGAGCTGGTGCACGTGTAGGACTAAATCTGCAAAAAATATATACAAAGAAAAAAAAAAAAATATTAAAGAAAAACAGTAATGTAGAGAATTAAGATAAGAAGATCAAAAATAAATATATTTATTGTATTGGAAGGAAATCAACAATCAATTCGCCAAAAGCAACAATAAAATAATGTGAACTGGATATTAAAGTTTAAGGATATTAAATAAATTTTAGTTGTTATCGTATTCTAAGAATGTATATATAAGTATACTAAGAATGAGCTGAATATAAGAACTTTTTCTGTTTTTGGTAAGTTTATGATAATAAAGCTTAAATGATTTTTGTTGGAGTTAAAAAATCTATTATGTTCGGAAAAAGCTTAGAAATGCTATTCAACTGTGTATTATTTAAATACTAGACGAGTTTTTTAACAAACAATTTTCTATCGCAAAAAGCTTTTATCCACAAAAAAACTTTTAAAAAGCTTTCAATTACTTTTTTCATAAAAAGCTTGATAGTGCTTTTTTACTGAAAGCCAAAACATCCTTTCTGTAAAAAGAAGTTAAAATTAATTTTGCGCAATAAGCTTCGAAGTGTTTTTACATAAAAAGCTTAACCAGTTTTTTTTTTAACAAAAAGCTTAAATATTTTTTTTCACAAAAAGCTTAAATATGTTTTTTCTCACAAAGTTTTTTTTTTTACAAAATGATTTTTTAAGAAAGCTTTTTGCAAAAAGCTTTTAAAATTTAAAAAACTTTTATCACAAAAATTATTTTACAAAAGCATTTATTCACAAAGGCATTTTCGATTTTGCAAATGCCAGAAAACTTTATAGAGCTTTTTAATGAAGTCAGAAGTTTCTCAAAAAGCTTAAAAAGTTTTTTTAGATTTTTTTTTCAAAAACCTAAAACCCAATAAAGAACTTAAGAAAGCTTTTATATCACGCAATTTCAAGGAAACTTATAAAAAAAACTTTTAAAAGCTTTTTGTACAAAAATATTTTAAACTTCAAATTACTTTTTTCATAGTAAATTTTATAAAGAGCTTAAAAATAGTTTAAAACTAAAAGCTTTAATGTTCTAATTACAAAAATGTCTACAATAAGTTTCAAAATAAAGCTTTACATAAGCTTTAATGCTACCGACACAAAAACCTCTAAAATCTTTTAAATATAATAATTTTTTTTTTTTTCAGAAAACCATAAAAAGCTTAAAAAAAGTTTATTTTTTCACAAAAGCTTAATAACCTAAACTCTTTTTACAATTAAACTTTTTCCGAGAAAAATATCTTAACACTTTTTTATAATAAACTTTTTCAACAGTTTTGGCCACAAAAACCTTAAAAAAAGCTTTTTTCAAAAAGAGATATTTTTAAGTTACTAATTTTAGATTCAGTCTGTTACAGCTGTGATTACAAACCATTACCAAAATTCATGGTCAACTCAATTCAAATATTGTTTAAAAAACAGGTCCAGCAACACAATTATTAAATATAAAAAAACTCAGAGATAATTTAAAAAAGGACACATTTAAAACATAAAATTATAATGATGGGTCAACATGTTGTTGTTGATAATGTAAAGTTGTTGCCATTACCGCAATCAAAGTGGAATGTAAACAAATTGTGGTACTTGCATAGAGAGACAGACATCTGGGGGAAAGGGAGAAGGAACGTTTTTTTTAAGAATTTCAGCCCTAAAATATTAACATTAACATCACTATTCATTATTCACTTGTTTCCAAGTATCAGTGTCACATACAATTTAAATATGATTTTATATTAAAGACAACCTTATGCTGTCATCACTTTTTTACAATTTACGTTATTAAAACACAAACTTTTTTCCAATTTTTTTTGTGGCTCTGAGTGCCTGGCTGTCTGACTGGTTCGCTGGTTGGTTGTTGTTTAGTGGTTTGATGATTTGTTTGTTTTTTGTATTTTTATCATTTTTATTTCATGTACAAAATTTTTCAACAGCTGTTGCTATACATTCAAATCCTATTTCTAATTTTAAGTCCTTTTTTATTTCAAACACCCCTTCTCTCAATAAAATGAAACAGAATCCTTATTAAGTTTTTTTTTTCAATGCTTTCACTTCTCATTTGTGTTTAGTGTCACACACAATTATAGGAATTTCGAAATTTGTTAACAAATAATAAAAAGCAATAAAAAAATAAAATATTATAAAAAGTAAAAAAATGTAAAATCTTTAAACAAGCAGCGGGAAAAATCCATGTTAAGCGGATCATGTTTATAAAACTTCAACAAGAGTATGCCATTTCCAAAAAGTAAAAATAAGTGGAAAATACAACATCCGTAAAACAAACAATCAGCCAACCAAACACAACCATATTCTTTCCTTTTGTTGTGTTGGTATTGGTATAAACATAATTTTGGCCAAATATTCAAAAGGTATTTTGTCGGTTAAATTTTTTTATTTATTTAAGTTGGGCTACAAAGTACAATTATTTTGTTTTTTATATTGTGTATTGTTTGTTTTCCAAAATATTTTTATACCTATTTTATTTTCATTGCAAGGAGTGTTGGTGGGAGTTTTTATTCAAGTGCGTGTTGTACTTTTTTAATTTGATTAAATCATTAAATTGGAAAAAACAGCAATAAAATGTTTTAAAGATTGTTTGACTGCTTCCTTTTGTTTATGTCCAAATCACCTTATATTTTTGTTTGAAAATATTTCTAAATTTGTGAAAAGGTTATTGTATTTATTCACATAAATATTTTTGATAATGAACAAACAAAGAGATTTAATTTAAACAAATTTAAAGGAAAGGTAAATTTGGTAACTAAATAAACCCTCAGTTATAAAGAAAATATTGGATTTAACTTTATTATAAAAAAATATTTGTTAAACAAAAACATTTTTCGAAGAATTTTTTTTTTAAACCAACTATATCTAATTTAAAAGCTTTTATGGCGAAAAAAGCGTTTTTAGTGAAAAGCATTTTTTGGTCAAAACTGAGTAATTTCTTGAGCTTTTGTATGCGAAACTAGAACTGACCTTGAAATGAACTAGAACTGAACTAGAACTGAACTAGAACTGAACTAGAACTGAACTAGAACTGAACTAGAACTGAACTAGAACTGAACTAGAACTGAACTAGAACTGAACTAGAACTGAACTAGAACTGAACTAGAACTGAACTATAACTGAACTAGAACTGAACTAGAACTGAACTAGAACTGAACTAGAACTGAACTAGAACTGAACTAGAACTGAACTAGAACTGAACTAGAACTGAACTAGAACTGAACTAGAACTGAACTAGAACTGAACTAGAACTGAACTAGAACTGAACTAGAACTGAACTAGAACTGAACTAGAACTGAACTAGAACTGAACTAGAACTGAACTAGAACTGAACTAGAACTGAACTAGAACTGAACTAGAACTGAACTAGAACTGAACTAGAACTGAACTAGAACTGAACTAGAACTGAACTAGAACTGAACTAGAACTGAACTAGAACTGAACTAGAACTGAACTAGAACTGAACTAGAACTGAACTAGAACTGAACTAGAACTACTACAGAGGTCTAGTTCCGGAAGTCTCCGGAACGAGCGAAATGCGTAATTTATGATGAGATTGGAAACAGATGAGCAAAGTGTAAGCCATCCAATTAATTTTGAAAAATACTAAAATTAAAACAAACAATTTAATAATTGCATGAATATAAAATTGCTCAACCATATGTTGCATTTTCAAAGGAAGTGCAACCGCCACTACATTTTCGAAAATAATAACTGGAAAAATTATAACAAAATAAACTCAAACTCACCTATTTTGTTTGGTGGGTGGTGTGGCATACGGAACACCCAAAAACACTTCAACCGAACGTAAAAACCGATAATTATCCAGTGGCAGTATTAGACCATGCAAACGACCGTAGCGTGTCTGAACAATACGATGACCGAGACGTAGATTTTTATATATGTCCGATTTGGAGGCTTGTATATTAAGAGCGGGTGATGATTGAATGATGGCGGAAAGACAAAGTATTAGTAGGGTGGCGGTTAGAGAATGCCAGCGATGTTGATGACGCCACCACGACATTGGCTTTAAGCGACAACGACAACTTGTTGTTAAAGTTTCTGCTGCTGGTGTGGCAGGTGGTGTTGTTGTTGTTGTAGTAGTTGCTGTTGTTATATTAATTCTAGTGTAGAGAAGTTCTGTTGCTGAATTTAAAGTACTAGCTAGCGTGGTTGCTATTGTTGTTGTTAGAGCAGCAGTTGCTGTCGTTGACAGTGATTTTTTGCATGTTTTTAATGATTTTATTTTTGTAGTTGTTGTATGTGTTATGGGTAGTGTTTTGCAGTCTTTAATTGTTATTGTTTTTGTGTTGTGTAGTTCTTCGTGTTTTGTTGTTGTTGCTGTTGCTGCTGCCGTTGTCAAGCAATTGCAGTTTGTCAGCCGCATAATGTTGGTTTATTGAAGTTTTATATTTTTGCTTTTTCTATATTTGTTGTTGGTTTTGTTAGTTTAACAACGGTTTTGTTTGTGTTTTATTTTTGTTTTTATTATCGTATTCATTTGTTGTTACAGTTTAACATGTTATTTTTTGTTTTATTTTTTCCGTTCGTTTGTCGCATCAGACTCTGCCTGCAAGTGTTTAAGTTTTTAACAACAACACATTGGCTTTTTCCCATCGATTTCGATTTTCTTGTTTTTTGTTTTGCAATTTTCTATGTTTTTTTCCCTGTTAGTTTTGTTTGTTATGGCATAAATTTTTAGTTAGAATTTTTTGTTATTGTTGTTGATACTGCTGTTGTTATTCTGCGGTATTCATACTTTTATATCTATCGTTTTCAAAGCCAATATTTATTGTTAAAACAAAATGTTTGGGAAATTTCATGTTTTTTTTTTCTTGTTGCTTGTGTTTTTCTTTATTCGATTTTGTGTTCGTTGCAGTTGTCTGTTTAAATAGTTTAATGCAAATTTTAGTATTTCAATTTAATTTTTTTTTAGTTTTGGCAATTTTACACATTTCATAGCGTTAATAATTTCTATTATTTTGAACACTTTTTTGTTATATTTATGGAGAATTATCTGGAAATAAAAGAAAAAATGGAAACGTTTAAATTTTTTTTGTTACAATCAAAATCAAAATTTATTTCAAGTAAATTATACCTAAACGTATACGTAATATTATTAGCGTAATAATTACAAATAAATCATACGTCTTTTTAGTTCGATATAAAATAAATTAAAATATGCTCTTAAAAGTATGCTTTAGATAATATTTATTCATTCATCCCAGACGCATGAGTATTGAGTATCAAATAAAATATCAATTATACGCCCTCATTAAGTTGTTCATTATTTTCTCTATTTTTAAAACTTTATTTTTCAGTGATTTTCTTGCTATAAGAAGGATTAATTACTTTTTTAGTTTTGTTTTTATTTTCTATCGTTTTCATTTCTCTTTTGTTCTAAAAGCTGCCCTTAATAGCATTTGTGTACTTAAGTATTAGTCCAAAAACTTGTCATTTGTTAATTATACACGATTTGTAGCTAAAAACTTTTATTAAAATTTTCATATTGTTTCAGTTAGTTTTTATGTTATGTTTACAATTTTGTTAAATGTTAGTGACTCCCCACAATTTGTTGACAAAAGGAAAAAAAAACTATGATTAAATTTTAAAACTACGGTAATCACTACAAATTTGCGGTAACACATGTTACAAATGTTTTTCAAAAATTACTGTAAATTATGATGAGGTAACAGAGCAGGTTTTTCTGTTTTTTCCTTCTCACTCTTTTACGTTTTCAGTTTTTATTATATGTCTGCTGTCAAATTATTTCTAATAAGAAATAAATTAGTTGTACTTTGCAGTTGATGCTTTGAAACAGGTGATGAAAATGTTTGAAACGTTTGAGTGATTGTTGTGGAGAAAAATTAACTAATTGAATTTTTTTGTTAATAAATTTAATAATTTAGAAAATTTTACTTGCTGGCTCTACTCTTGAGAATAAACTCCTCAGGTAGCAAAACGTCAACAGCTTGTAACGAGAGACGTTGTTCATGGAATTTATATTCATTGACTTGGTATCGTAGATGTTAACGGTTTAAAACAGTTATTCCCTTTAAATTTGAGCAATTCTGCGAGTTCCCCTTTTCGGAAGTTTTATAATTATACTTTGCCAAATTATGTATCTAGCCCCCATTAAAATCCTACTTCAATCTTAAAAAACCCCCTTCTTTTTCTGTGGCAAGCCATTAACTGTAACATTATCTTATTTTACACAAAAAACCACACTCTCCACTTAAGTAGTCAATTATGAAAAACTAAAGCACTTAAGATTTATTAATAACTACTTAACACCAACTTCATGCTCTTTCCATAAAAAACAAACACACTCACTCCCTGTTAACGCTTGATTTACAGTCAACATAAATCTGCTTAATTTAACGACTCCAACACAATGACCGAATAGCAAAACAACAAAATAGTAAAACTTTTAAAAAGGGTGTATAAGTAAGAATAGTTTATGGAACAAACAATTTATGCAGTTTTTTTCAAGTTTTTGCAAATCTTTATTTCTGTATGTTTTAGTTTAAATCTTTGTAATTTTTTTTTATTTATTTTTGTTTTGTAGTTAGATATTATAAAAAATGTAACATAATCGCACATTAACCTAAAACGGTACTTAAAATATCGAAACAAAAGCCGTTCGTAATCTGTAAAACTGCAATTACAGCGCCCCTAAAATACATAATACTTTAAATAGAAAGCTAGAGAGATAGAGATGGACAGACAGCCATGTTTTCCTTTATTTCTTTTATAAGTTACATATTTATATAGTAGAGACAGTAGATCGTAAAAGTCTTGTGGAGTTTGTCAGTAATTTTTTTCCTTCCTTTACGCCACGTTAGCAACAATTGCTTTTAGTACTTTACATGGGGCATTATATGCAGTGTAGTGCAGTAAAGTGAAGTTGCTAGTTTTTGTTGCATTTTCTATGCTAGTGGAGTTTGTTGTTTTTGCTGCTGTTGTTGTTTTTTCCTTTTCTTGTTTATTCTTTTTTATACTTGCTGCATTTTATTTATAAGTCTTAAGAATAAAACTGCAAGTTTTTGTTTAGTAGTTTTTTTTATTTTGCTGTATTGCTCTCTTGTTGTAGTTGTTTAATGCGCACAATTTCCCTTCAATGTATTGTGTCTGTGTATGAGATAAGCGTTTTTACTTTATTTTTGTTCTTTTTGAAAAATACATACTTTAATTTTGTATTTTGTTCATGTATAGCTATTTGTTTCTTTTTTGTGTTTGTAAAAATTAAAAAAACAGAAAAAAAATTTACAATAAAACAAACCATTTTAGTTACAAATAACATTATTAAAAGTTATTAATATAAGTGGTATTAAAAAATAATTCTAGGCAGTAGCCGAATTTTATCCGAATTGCGATTTATTACGCATCCATTATCAAACATTTTGATGACATTTGCCACATTGACCTGTAATGTTGGATATTGCAAAGGGGCCAAAAATATGAAATCGAAACTGTTTGCTTGATTTTTACAAAACTTATAGCTAGAAAGAAGGGAGGTAAATTTGTGTTAAATTGGGTGAACAATACAGGTGTCTAAAAAATATAGAATAACTGGAAGTCGTGCTGTAAATCGATTAGAAAATTTAAAAATTAAGAAAATTATGTCTTTTTATTTCTTTAAAATAATGCCACTCGAACTAAATTTTAGTTAGTTAGTTAGTTAGTTAGTTAGTTAGTTAGTTAGTAAGTTAGTTAGTTAGTTAGTTAGTTAGTTAGTTAGTTAGTAGTTAGTTAGTTAGTTAGTAGTTAGTTAGTTAGTTAGTTAGTAGTTAGTTAGTTAGTTAGTTAGTTAGTTAGTTAGTAGTAGTAGTTAGTTAGTTAGTAGTTAGTTAGTTAGTTAGTTAGTTAGTAGTTAGTTAGTTAGTAGTTAGTTAGTTAGTTAGTTAGTTAGTTAGTTAGTTAGTTAGTTAGTAGTTAGAGTAGTTAGTTAGTTAGTTAGTTAGTTAGTTAGTAGTTAGTTAGTTAGTAGTTAGTTAGTTAGTTAGTGTTAGTTAGTTAGTTAGTTAGTTTAGTTAGTTAGTTAGTTAGTAGTTAGTTAGTTAGTTAGTTAGTTAGTAGTTAGTTAGTTAGTTAGTTAGTTAGTTAGTTAGTTAGTTAGTTAGTTAGTTAGTTAGTTAGTTAGTTAGTTAGTTAGTTAGTTAGTTAGTTAGTTAGTTAGTAGTTAGTAGTTAGTAGTTAGTTAGTTAGTTAGTTAGTTAGTTAGTTAGTTAGTTAGTAGTTAGTTAGTTAGTAGTTAGTTAGTTAGTAGTTAGTTAGTTAGTTAGTTAGTAGTTAGTTAGTAGTTAGTTAGTTAGTTAGTAGTTAGTTAGTTAGTTAGTTTAGTTAGTGTTAGTTAGTTAGTTAGTTAGTAGTTAGTTAGTTAGTTAGTTAGTTAGTTAGTTAGTAGTTAGTTAGTTAGTAGTTAGTTAGTTAGTTAGTTAGTTAGTTAGTTAGTAGTTAGTTAGTAGTTAGTTAGTTAGTTAGTTAGTTAGTTAGTTAGTTAGTTAGTTAGTTAGTTAGTTAGTTAGTTAGTTAGTTAGTTAGTTAGTTAGTTAGTTAGTTAGTTAGTAGTTAGTTAGTTAGTTAGTTAGTTAGTAGTTAGTTAGTAGTTAGTTAGTTAGTTAGTTAGTTAGTTAGTTAGTTAGTTAGTTAGTTAGTTAGTAGTTAGTTAGTTAGTTAGTTAGTTAGTTAGTAGTTAGTTAGTTAGTTAGTTAGTTAGTTAGTTAGTTAGTTAGTTAGTTAGTTAGTCAGTTAGTTAGTTAATTAATTCTCTCGGTCGCTCTGTTCGAATATACCTTATATTTCAATTCAGTCTATGTAAGGAATATATTACTTTCCCGTCCATTCCTTTTTCCACGAAAATGTCTTGTATAACAGTACTAAAAGTAAAATAAAATCACTGTAATTCCTTTTAAAAAGACAACAAGTAAATATTTTAGCCACATTACGATGGTTCGTTTCTATGATAGTCCGTTTCTCCTCTGACGGCAACTAGTTCCCTATATATTTTTTCCATCCAGTCTTTACTGAGTAAATAAACATTCGCCATATTAAAAGCAGTATATATACCCTACACCACTTTAGTGGGGAGGGTATATTGGATTTGTGCTGATGTTTGTAACGCACAATAATATTGGTCCTATACCCACCTTAAAGTATACCAATCGGCTTAGAATCATTTTCTGAGTCGATTTAGCTATGTCCGTCCGTCCGTCCGTCTGTAATCAAACTACAGGTCGCAATTTTGAAGATAATTCAATGAAATTTGGCACATGATCTTCTATTGTCCCAGGGACGAAGCCTATTGAAAATGGTTAATATTGGTCCATTATTTCACCTAGCCCCCATACAACTGAGCCCCCGAATAGGGCTTGTAAACCTTGTAATCAAACTACAGGTCTCAATTTTGAAGATAATTCAATGAAATTTGGCACATGATCTTCTATTGTCCCAGAGACGAAGCCTATTGAAAATGGTTAACATCGGTCCATTTTCTCATCTAGCCCCCATACAACTGAACCCCCGAATAGGGCTTGTAAACCTTGTAATCAAACTACAGGTCGCAATTTTGAAGATAATTCAATGAAATTTGGCACATGATCTTCTATGGTACCGGAGACGAAGCTTATTGAAAATGGTTAACATCGGTCCATTATTTCACCTAGACCCCATACAACTGAAAACGACGAATAGGGATTTTAAGTTTATAATTATGTTTAATATACTCGTATCTCGACAAAAAGCTGCAAAACCAAGTTCTATACTAGCCTTGATGACTCGCATGAATTTTATAATTATAGGGTCTTATTTGACCATAGCCCCTATACAAATCCCCCTTCAAAATTTGACTTAAATGTCAACAATTTTATTCAACAATAAATGGCTTAAGTATATGTATCTGACACAAGTCAACTTAAATGCTTTATTATGAAAACTAAATCACATTTTATTTTTGTAACAGGTGTAGGGTATTATACGGTCGGCCTCTCCCGACTATAATTTCTTACTTGTTT